TATGCCTCTCGGAAAAAGTTTCTGTCTTACTTCAAACAAGATTCTTCCTCATATCCATAGTTCTTCGTTGTTCTACTTACTTATTAAATAAGTGGCAGCCCAAAGAAGAATCATTCTCAAACTAATTAACAACAAAAAAGAAGTATCATTCTCAGAGAGTAGTTTTCCAGGAACACACACCTCCCCTCAGGCAGTGAACAAGATGAAATTTGAACCCAGGTCTAGCTCTGCAACTACACACCTATGGAGAAGGTTCAAGGAATGACTATTGCCTTAGACATGAGTTTCTCTGAGAACCAGCATTTCTAGGTGGTGTGTAACATTGAACAACTGAAAATTTCTGAGCCTGTAGCTGTAGAATGACAGTATGACAGCTTTCTGATTTAAGTAATAAGTTCCATAATGGAGGCCCCCACACACACAACATGCCCTATCTCATTGTCATAAAAATAATGTGATAATATTGGCACCAGAAATTGTTATCAACTGGTCATTAGAACCATTTGGGGTTCTATTTGAAGTGCTTTTCAGGTTTCTCTTTTTATTAAAAAGGCTTTTAACTTGTACATTGTTGTAATGTTAGGTGGGTTTTAGTTGTGTAGTAGTTGTTGCTATCCACGTTTCTGGACTGCTGAATCTTTATTTTCCTAAAGGTAATCAACGCCCGCCTTCAGTATGTCTTCTCAGTGACAGCAGGCTCATTAATGTACATGCTAGTTAGGCCCAAACTGGTTCCAGTATCATCTTGCAGACACAAGCCACCTTAGAAGGGTTCCCTTCTGGCATTTCAGCAACAAAATCCCTGTGGCTAAGATCATAGTGGAAATGCTTGTGTCTCCCCAAGATAAAATAGTCTATGCTTTGTTTTCACCAGATGAATGGGAAAAAATGAGAACATGATACCTTGTATGCAAGGTATGATTGATTGAGGAGATTTACTGTAGATATGAGGGAGAGGCATCTGGAAGGGTCCAGACGGAACTGGCCTGTGAGAGGAGAGAATGGGGAGAGCAAGAGAGAGGCCTGAGTGAGCCAGGAGACAGAGACCAAGGGGAGAAGGACAAAGAGCACCAAGAGAACATGTAGCCAAAATGACTAGGTTTTACAGGAAAAGAAACGCTGGGGAAGCAAAGCTCAGGTGCTGGAGAGATTTGGGTAGGGGCGAGGTAACAGGAACTTGTAAGTAGGGGAAGACTGGTGGTTCTATTTAGATTTTCTGCTCTGCAAAGTGAAACTCCCACTCCATCCAGCTCCTAGCTCATCTTAGAGGCAGTCAACTAACTGCCTGGAGATTTTTAAGGATAGCATGCTGTCCACACTTTACCCGTTGGTTTTTTCTCTTTAGTACTGTCAGTGCTAACAGAGCTACTGCTTCACCCTGCCCCTGTGCACATACTGTAATCTCTATAGCCCTGTTATTTTGATGGACTTTTCGATTGGGATAGCAGGCACTTGGAAAGAATGACAGATCAAGAAGAGGCCTAAGGCACAGACAAATTACAAAGGTGCCACAATCGAACAATTGTATATGTGTATGCGTTTGTGGTTTCATGAGTTATGTGTACAAGTGCCCACAGAGGCCAGAGGGCATCAGATTCCCCTTGAACTAAAGAAGTGGTAAGTGCTCTTTTCTGCTGAGTCATCTCAATCAGCCCTTAAGGTGTATTCTTTAAAACCTGTTAAACTGAGGCTAAAATTATAGAAAGAACTGAGTTTTTTTAGAAGCTTTACTGCAAAACTTGTTCACATGTGGAAGAGACAGTTTTTTTGTACCACTTGAAAATGGTGATATTTGGGGAATCTCATTATTTACTCCACACCAGAACTTGCATTGTTGTTTGCCAGGTAAATGATGTTTATGCTATCTCCCCAAATCTAGGCTTCTAATTCTCTTATCCCTGTCTGTATGACCATTAGCAAAGCACAGCCTTGAATATGCTGGTGCTGTCTGTAGCATGGTCAGTGAGGGAGCTTAAGTTATGTTTTTAAAATCTGGGCACAGTTAGAAGTCAAATTTGGTAGGGCTCTTTAGACTAAAACTGGAGGCACCTAGCTTCTTTAAAGACACAATAGATCTCTTTAGATCTGTCTTGCAGCCAGCTCTTCATGCCTGCTTCCCACCTCCATTTGTTACTGGATCTCAGGCATGCTGAAGAGTTGTCTCCTTCATATAGCATTTTTAGAGAGAGTACTTGGGTTTAAATGCTGCTTCTCCCTTGCTAAGCACACATTGTACCATTAAGCTGTTTCGTAGGCCCTTAAATACTAATCTTGTTTATCCTTTTTCATTTACACTGGTTTAACATCAACTTGGTTGAAAACTTACTGAAGGAGAAAATTCAGTATACTGATTTGATATTGATAAGTGGATGTTAAACTTTTTTTCCCCTGGTCCTAGAGATACAAATCAGCCTCATGCCTAGTAGGTGTGCACTCACTGCTGAGCCACCCCCCCAGCTCTAAACTTTTTTAAAGCAAAGACAGTGGTAAGCACAGTTAGAATTTTCAGTTAATGTCACCTTATTTTGATTTCTGTGCTTGAAACTTTGGGCAGGGGGTAGTGGAAAAATTCATGATTTTACTGAAAAGAAGCTTTAAAAAATTTTTTTCCTTTTACCAGATATTTAATTCCAGCACTCAGGAGGTAGAGGTGGGAGGAATTCAGGGCTGTCTATGAGACACTGTCTTTAAACAGAAAAAAAAAATCATGTCTTTATGTAATGTATACCTTAATGGGGAAAGAAATAAAAAAAAAACGGCCTTTGCATTTGTCCTCTCTGTTCAGGTACAGTCACCTTCTGAACAGTCTCAAAACCCTGGTTTTATTCATTTTGGATTCTGTCTTACTGACAGAGAGGCTGATCTCATTGAGAGGTTCTGGAGTCTAAAATTATCAGGACATCATTAGGGTGTCTTGTTTTAACAAAATAATCCTTGCTGTTGTCTTTTAAAATATTTTTTTAATCATGCCCATAACCCCAGCACTTGGGAGCCTAAGATAATAAGATCATGAGTTAAAAATGGGATGAACTACTTAGCAAGACCTCGTCACAAGTAAACGTATTATCGCTAGTAGAATATATGAAACTTTTACATCTTTGCTGATCTTACAGATAGCTGAAAAGTGTTCTCATATAGTGTTCTCATATATTTGAAACTCATTTATTGGGAGATGACTGCTAATGGGTGGACACAGGATTTCTTCTTAAAGTGATGGAATGGTAGTGTTTATTAGTCTTTCGTTTTGTTTTTCCAGACAGGCTTTCTCTGTGTAGCCGTGGCTGTCCTGGAACTGGCTCTGTAGACCAGGCTGGCCTCAAACTCACAGAGATCCACCTGCCTCTGCCTCCTGAGTGCTGGGTTTACAGGTGTACACCACCATTGCCACACTTACCAGTCTTTAGGCCACCAAATTAGGCTTTAAAACATATTTTTTGTGGTGTCTGTATTATTTCTCAGTAAAGTAACCATTTAAAACTTATACTTTTCTGAAAATTAACATCCTTTGTTTTCTATTTTTTTTATAAGAAACTAGCTTGTCTTTATTATATCTATTTTTCCCAAGTTGGCCATTTGTTATTAACCTTGGCTTTGAAGACAGTCTTTATTTTCCCATTGTCAGCTCATTCTCCCCTCTACTCTGCCACCATCATTTTTAAAAGAACCTTTAGGTGGATTTTTATAATTGAATTTTTAATTCTCTTCGTTCTTCTGGAGTTTGTATTTTTTTAAACACATTTAACATTTTAGACTTAGTCATTTATTTTGGCATACATTATGAGAAAAACATGCAGATTTTCCCCCAGTATAATATCCATTTGCCTTTATCTGATTTTTAAAAATAATCCATTACTCTTACTGATTCCTGTTATCATTTGCTATCTGCTTATTTCCTGTTTGGATTTGTGTGGGCATCTTCATCTCCTACTACCAAGCTATTTTAATACTTTAACTGTAAAGACCAGTCCAACTTTCAATATTCAGAATATTTCCCTGACCATTCCTTACCCCCTATGTGTGACTTAGAGTGAGGTTTGTTTTTCAATTTATCCGTTGATATTTTGTGGTTGCTGCATTAATTTATAGCTAGAATCATAATAAAACTGAAGATTTATTTGCTCCCCCTTCTTTGTCTCGGGGCTAATCATGTCTTCAAAGCATTGATAATAGTAATAGTGATAACAGGCTTGGCGGGGTGGTACATGCCTTTAATCCCAGCACATGGGAGGTAGAGGTAGGTTGATCTCTGAGAGTTCCAGACCAGCCTGGTCTACAGCTTGAGTTCTATGACATCTAGAACTTCATAATGAGGTGCTCTCTGGGGAGGTGGGGTTCTCATATTCCCCCCCCCTTTTTTTTTGAGACAGGCTTTGTGTAGCTCTTGGCTGTCCTGGAATTCTCAGTCTGTAGACATATTCCCAAATTCTAATGGGCATATTCTAAGCATTTTATATTCATATTCATAAGTGAGATTAATCTGATTCTTTTGTTTGTTATTACCATGTTTGGTTTTATAATCCTAGATAGATTTTTTTTTAATAGTTCTAGAGTTTGAAACTAGAGCCTTGTACATGTTAAGCAAGTTGGGGCAGGGCATGACAGGGTCTCACTGTGTAGCCAGACTGACCATCACTTAAACTGTATACTCCAGGCTTGTCTTTAAACTGAGAGTCTGCTATCTCCATCACGCTTGGCTTAGAGAAAACTGTTAAGTGTCCAATTAACTGTGGAACAATTTAAATACTGAATTTTGTGCTTCTTAAAGGTCTGATGATAGATTCATCTGTGAATCTAAATAGTGTCCTAGCTTTTCAGAGAATAGTTCATTGTGATTTTCTTAATTTCAGTCAGCCCGTTTTCTCTTTTGGAACCAGTTTTGGTAGTTGATATTTTTCTAAAAATTACTCATTTTATTGAAGTTTTCAAATGTATTTGCTAAGCATACTCTTAATTTTATCTAACTGTTGTCTTCTTTGTTCATTTCTTTGTTTTTTGTGCAGGAACAGGAAATATAGTCGTCATTATGATTAGCTACCCAAAAGGACGAGAAATTTTTGACCTGGTGCAAAAAGGAATTCCAGTAAACATGACCATAGGGATTGGTATCCGTCATATGCAGGAATTCATCAGTGGTCAGTCTGTGGTGTTTGTGGCCATTGCCTTCATCACAATGATGATTATCTCATTAGCATGGCTAATATTCTATTATATACAGCGTTTCCTATATACTGGCTCACAGTTTGGAAGTCAGGTAGTTATGAATAACTTTGTTTTATTAATTCAGTTTGATTCGTTTTAAATGATAGCACATGAATATATTCTATATGCTACTTGATGTTATATTTAACTACACTAAGTTTATTAAGCATTCATATGACTTTGATAAATTTTTTAATTGGAATGTATTTTCATGTCTTTTTGTAGACAGAGGACTAGTAGAAGGTAATGTGACAGAAAGAACATATGTAGCCCTGTTTTCTAGCTTGGTATAAGGTTGAGGAGCAAAGAGGAAGGGCCTGCTCTGTCTGCACTGGAGTAGTTGACAAACCGTTTTTCTGAAGGCAAGCTCTTTCTTGAGCAGAGAGAAGAGCCCAGGGCTTCTAGTGGCACACTCAGTCCTATGCACAGTAGGCTTCCCGGCCTGATAACTTGGCAGGACTCTTCTCTTGGGAACTACTGATGGAAAGTGGGTGGCACTTTCTTCCTGGACATCATTATTTTCTTGCCAGTGTTTACGTGTAGAAATTGTTTTCTGAAAGTTGAAAATGTGGCTAAATGGCATCACATGTTTAGAGTGCTAGGAGTTTCCAGTTCCATTCCAACATCACCCAAAAAAGGGAGACATGTTCTTTTTCAGATGTGGAATTAAAAGCAACTATTCCTGGGCTGGGGATACAGCCCTGTGGTTTAGGGTGCTTGTTTAGCATGTGTGAGGCCCTAGACTTAATTGCAGATAAGCGAGTAAGTAAATATATTCTTAGCTGGTCATGGTAGCTCATGACTGTAATCCTTCGTTTGGTATTTGGAAAACTGAGGCAGGAGGGTTGCTTCAAGCTCAAGACCAATCAAGACTCTAAAGTAAAGCATTATCTCCAAAAAAAATAATAATAGTTCTTATCAAGTAGCTTATAAGTTATATGGCTCTTTTATATATTTAAAGTTTTTTCTAAGTTATTTTCATTGTAATCATTTAACTTTGTTTTACTAATGAAAACTTTTCTGTTTTGTTTACATTGTATTGTGTGAGTTATTTTAAAAAGACTATTTAATAATACTGTTTTCCTCCCCAAGAATCATAGAAAGGAAACTAAAAAAGTTATTGGCCAGCTTCCACTACACACTGTAAAGCATGGAGAGAAGGTAATACTTTCGTTGTGATTTGTTTGGGGTTCAGCTGGAGAATGTTTATGTTTGAGAATTTTCTTTTCAGTGTACTGTTCAGCAGTAACAAGCATGTGACACACTGTTAAGCCGTCATGTATGTGTTTCAATATTTTAAAGGAAGGCTGACAGAAATAGAATGAATGGAGAGGCCATTTATAGCAGTCATTAGTCACGTGGCTGTTTAAATATAAATGAATTACTATTAGAGTCCAGGTCTGTGGCTCAGTAGTAGAGCCCATGCTTAACATGCATGAAGTCCTAGATTGACCTCAGCACCCCACCTACCAAAAAGGTTAAATCAATTAAATTTCATTTAAAAAATAGCTCCTACATTGTATGTGTTCAGTGATAACTGTGTACCAATATTCCTGTCATTGGAAGTTTTTCAGACAGGGTTTCTCTGTATTGTTTTGGAGGCTACCCTGGAACTTGCTCTGTAAACCAGGCTGGCCTCGAACTCACAGAGATCCGCCTGCCTCTGCCTCCCGAGTGCTGGGATTAAAGGCATGTGCCATCAACGCCCAGCGTCTGAATTGATTTCTAAAAATTTATTCTTCAGTTCTGTTTTCAGGAAGGAAATCAGTACTTTGCACAAGCTTAAAATTCTACCGTACCTGCTGCATGTTTTTTTTCCTCCTTAGCAAAATTCATTGTTTACATGAAGACAAATTCATATGTGTAACTTACTGAGCCAAGCCCTTGAGAATACAAGTAAATTGTATTCCCATACCTAACATTTGTTAAAGTATGATACTAGAGGCTTGTTTTAAAATTGTCAAAATAATTTTTTAGAATGTCTCTAAATGGTCTATGAAGTGTATACCTGGATTTGGAAGCATTTTTACATGAACTTTTGCAGTCTACATCTTATCACTGGAGACACGTGATTATTTTTAAATTTTTTCTTTTCTGTGGATTTATTTCTAATAATGTATAAGCTTATAAGTTATTAAAGAATTTAAAATGTTTTTTGCATAGCATATGAAATATAAATGAAATGATTTTGTTATAACATAGTATTTAAGGGGCTAGAGAGATGGCTCAGTGGTCAAGAGTGCTAACTCCTGTTGCAGAGAACCTGACTTTAGTTTCCAGCACCTATATCCACTCATAACAACTACCTGTAACTACAGTTCCAGGGGATCCAGAGCTTCTGACCACTGAGGCTTTGTGCATTGCATGTACATGGTGTACATAAACTCATACAAGTATACCACACATATAAAATAATAAGAAAATCTTTTATAAAATATCACAATATAGAATTTAAAATGCTGTTAAAGTTAATTTTATTGATATGTACATATTAAATAAGGCTTTTACTGCTTCCTTATTAATTGCTACACTTGGCTAAGGGTATGCTTAAATAGCAACTCAAGGATAGTGTGGCTATGTTTGATAATGTGAAGCTGCCAAAATTGCAGCCTCAGAAGTACACAGTGATTGAGTTCCTAAATCCCTGTCTCAGAATCTCAGTTTGTCCTAGCTACACAGACCCCTACTAACTCACAGAAAAAGTCCATGACCTATAGATTCTTTGATGTAAAAATGTTGCCAACTCTCCCACCCTACAGCCAGCAATTTTTGTTTTTTATACTTTTGTTCATTTGTTAGGCAAAAAGAGGCAACTCATGCTAATGGAAGAGGTTTAATGCTAATGAAGTAAAATTTCAGATATGTAGTCATTTGTACTTTCTCTAAGTTGTAACTGTTCTTTAAGAGAGGTATAGATTTCTTTTAAATAATTCCAGAAAACAAAACCTTTGAATATTTAAGTTTTATGCTTGAAAATATTTTGCTTGACCATAATAAATAGCAAGCATGGCTGGAATGTAGTTGACTTTGTAGAGTGTTTCTGGTATTAATGAAGTCCTGGGTTTATCTCCAGCCCCATATAAACTTTACCTGGTGGTTCACTACTATAATCCAAATTTTGGAAGATGGAGGCAGGGGCATCAGAAAATGAAGGTCATGATTGGCTATACAGTGTACATGAGGCCAGCCTGAAAACAGTCAAAAACAAAGTGTGTGTATGATTTGCATTTCTACAGCCCTTAATAGTCTGTATTTCTTCAAACATTAACATACTATTTAAAACAATGCTAATGCCTGATTAGGTAGACAATGAATTTTTTTTTTCTTTTCATTCAGATTCTTTAAATAACTGATAGTGGTAAGAAGTAAATGCCAAGTATGATTATCTGTGTTTTGGATCAGGTTGTTCCAGCATGGAGTATAATCCATTGTTTTAGTCAGTTTTCTTTTTCTCTGTTATTGTATGTGTAATGTGTGTGTGTGTAACTCTAACTCTGTTTTCAGGGACTTGATGTTGATGCTGAGAACTGTGCAGTGTGTATTGAAAACTTTAAAGTAAAGGATGTTATCAGAATCCTGCCATGCAAGTATGAATACGTTTTTTCTACTAAGACACTTAAAATTACCTAACAAGTTTCAGTTTTCTGACAAAGAGTTCCATGCTTTTTCTGGTAGGAAGATCTTGTAATCTCATCATTCATACTGTCTTCAAGAGTCCTTAAAATTGCTCTGCTTGAGAGACTTCTAGGTGACCACTAAGATCCATTGTATCTTTGTTTTAGACTGGCTTTTAGGCTTATCAAGACTTGTTTAGATTCCATTATAAACCTATTTGTTGTCAGATTCCATTGTAAACCTAGTGAAGCAGAGCAAATGCTCAGTCGAAAGGAATCAAGAAAGATGAAGGTCCTTTATTGACCCAAAAAGCAGGCAGTAGTTTGCTATTATTTATACTCTGGATGAAAGTTCCTTCTGAAGCTGTGTAAAATGAATATTCCTCCCTTTACTCAAGTTTTAGTAACACCGGTACAGTTTTAACAGTGGGAAGTTGCTACTTCATTTTTAATAATCTGCTACTTTAATTGACTTTTTAAAAGAACTGCTGTTAAGAAGAGTTTGTTGTATAATAAAAATTAGTTTTTTAAAAGTCTGATAAATTTCAATTATACTTTATGCATTTTAGAATCAAGTTACAACTATTTTACAAAATATTTTGCTATGTATATGGTACTTTTCAATAGATTAAGTTCTTGATACCCCTGTTGAGGAAATTAAAAAATGAGTATCAAAATAGAAGGGTTCCCTGAGAAAAGTGTGTGGCTAAAATCTGTCAGCATTACGTAGGGTCAGCACAGTGGTTACTTGGTGAGTGGAGGTTGGTATAGGTTGGTCATGGTCTGCAGAAAAGCACTGAAAGTAGAGTTTTCACCTGGCTTTAGAGCAGGTCTTTCCCATTTCAGAGTGATGCTCAAGAGTGCACAGAGAGAAGGTAGGAGGTATGGCTGATGTCTGTGCTGAGCTTGTATTTGACCTCTTCAGATACTATACGGTGTGCATATTATTGGGACTTTTATTTTGACATTTTTTCTGCTGAGCAATATGTTAAACATCTCCCAACCAAACTGGAAGATTCCTTCTTGTTTTTTGGGAAATTCTTCAGAGTCAGTATTAATTTGAGATTTGATGATAAGCTGGACTAGAGTGTTAGATAATTAAGAATTGCTATTTTTAATGGCACTGCAATTTTTTGTTTAATGAAAAAGTCTTCAAAAGAGGAATAATAGGGCAATGGTGGCGGGTGTCAGAGGAAGGTGGATCTCTGTGAGTTTGAGGTCAGCCTAGTCTACAGAGACAGTTCCAGGACAGCCAGGGCTGCACAGAGAAACTCTGTCTCAAATAAACAAACAAACAACGAACAGTTACTAGGTATATACTTGTCCAGCACGTTGTAGACACTGAGAACAGCTCATGGTATAGGTGCAAAGATTAGGAGGCACACAGCTGTCTAGTCACACAGTTGGTGCTTGAGCCTAATCTGGTTTCAAAGCCCCTAATTAACTTCACACATAACATGGGAGGAGCAGGAAACCAAGATAAACCAACAAGAAAGGAACGTGTATGTGTCTTTCTGGTAGCAACAGATGTTTATTAAAGAAGGGTTCATAAAAGTACACAAGAGGAAATCGCTTCTTCCTGCCCGTCACAGGTATTGTCATGTATTTCCACTTGAGTCATTTTATAGACTTGAAGATATGATCAGTTAGGATTAGTTTACTATTGATAGCTTACTTGTGGACTTTACTAGCCTAAGTGGTATAATAAGTAATCCTAGTGTTTGGGAGGAGAAGTAGCTCAAAAAAATGAAATAATACAAAAAATGTGTAACCTAGTAGGTGGCAGTATCCTATTTGGCAGTATCCTATTTTTTTGTGGCATGAAGAGAAACTTTCACTTTTTAAAAACATTTCACTATTAAGTCCAAAGTCTATTTAATTGGAAACTAGAAAAGAAAATAGATAAGTGACTAGACTACAGTGTTGTTGTACTGTTGGCTAACTTTTAATAGAGGGATATGTTGGTAAAGTGCATTATTTTCTTTATAAGATATACAAACATTTATTTTAAGGCATTAATACATACTTAATTTTTTTAGGCATATTTTTCATAGAATATGCATTGACCCATGGCTTTTGGATCACCGAACGTGTCCAATGTGTAAACTTGATGTCATCAAAGCCCTGGGATATTGGGTTTGTTACGTTTTTGTTTATATTAAATCTCTGCCCCAGTTCTTCCTGAGTATCTCACTTTTATTAGTGATTAGTGACTAGAGGCAAGAGGAACAGGCAAAATGCTACTTCTGATATCCTTGCTTGTTATCTAAGGAAGTTTTCTGTATTAAAAATGAATTTGTAGAGTAGTCCTCAAAAATCGGTAAACCGAGTGTATGACAGAAAAATATGCTACTATGTTCCCCAGTTTGTAGCTGCTTAAAATAGCATAGTTCTGCATACTATAGGGGGGTGTGTGTATGTGTATGTGTATACGTTATATAACCCTAAATCATAGAATGTATGAAACAGAAGTACATTCTACATTTTCTGGCTTCAGAGACACATTTTACACATACTACACCCAACAGTTTTTGACATCTGTTTTTACTGTTGCTTGGTTTCATTTTATTAGTACAGGCTAAATTTGTCCTATATTAAAATTTGCCCATTATTTTGTGTTATTTTCACAGCAAGGACCTTTCTTAGGAGATATAAGGGTAAAATTAAAGAAATTGTAACAATAGATGGCCATATGCTTGCTCCACGTCTTAAATAATTATTAATTTAATCTCCACAGCCTCTATATGAAGCACTCTTGCTGTCTCTATTAACTAGAAACTTAAGCTTAGAGCTACTGACTTTTCATATAAGTTCTCACAGCTAATTGGTAAGGAATCAGCTTTCAAACATAAATTATTTCTTCCCTACTTAGAGAAGATAAGGACAGAGTTCTTTTTAAGTTTTGGGGGCTTTTATTTCATTTTTTGTTTGTTTTTATCTCCGTATGATCTGACTCAAAATACTATTGATTAAATAATGAAGTATTATAAATAAAAATATTCAAAGGGCCTGGGAATGTAGCTCAGAGTGCTTGCATACCTTGCATTGAAGCCTCAGATTCAGTTCCCCACAGTGCACTAAACTGGATGAACATTTTATGCAACTTTAATCCGCAATAGCCATGTAAGCTTCTATAATGGTGTCACTAACAACTGTCCATGGAACAAGACTGGCTTCATAGACTGTAGGTGTGACATCATTCTCTAGCTTGGTGTGTCTTCAGCAAAATCTAAGAGACCTCCTGCTGCTAAGTAGGGCACTATTCTAGAGTGTTTCACATGGTGGTCCAGAATGCCTTTGCCAGCTACTCAGGGAGAAAAGGTTGGCATCCAAGAATTACTAGTCTTCATCATGAAATGTAGACACCTAAGCTTCCTTCAGTCCCTGTAGCCTGGGATAGCATGCCTCTCGAATGAGCTTGGTTCATGCCCTCTACTGTAGAAGCCATAGTTCAGCAAGAAGCTGAGCCTGAATGGTTCAGAATCATTTTCTTTTCTTTCTTCCTTTTTTTAAAATTTATTTATTATGTATGCACTGTTCTGCCTGCCTGCATGTCAGAAGAGGGTACCAGTACCCATTATAGATGGTTGTGAGCCATCATGTGATTGCTGGGAATTGAACTCAGAACTCTGGAAAAGCAGTCAGTACTCTTAACTTCTCAGTTATCTCTCCAGGCTCCTCAGAATCTTAATTGAGAAAACATAGAGCTTAATGAATCGTTTTCTTGAAAAAGTCTTGAACTCTCTTTCTTGGGTGCACACCAAAGCTTGTGCTAAGCTGTTGTCTTTGTTGAGTGACTCAAAACCAGCTTTTCCTCTCCTGACATTTATGTGAGACTAATTTCTGTTCTTAGCTAAGCCAATGACTTGCACTCTCATACATTTTGTACAGAGATTATAAGTCAACATATATTCATGTATTAGGAATCAGTTTTCACTTTATATAAAGTTAAATTATTTTCTTGAAGTATTTACTTCAAGAACCTAGAACCTAGAGAACCAGAGTGTTTGTACTTTGTGAAGGACAGAAAGCTATTGTAACTTCAAAGCTAAGGATTTGTTTGACTTTTAATGTTTCAATTTTTAGAGATATCTATTCCCTTATAACCACTCAAGAGTCATCAGTGACCCTTTACGTAGACTTTAAAGGCAGTCCTTTGGTTCACAGCTGTATCCACTGCATTCATTGGGCAAACCCTGATCAGAAAGTTCTGCCTAAGATGTTAAACTGAACTTGACTCAGACATAAATTATGTATAGCTCCTTTGCTAGATAAAGACTCTTGGGGATTTCTCATTCAGGCCAAATGGAACCAGTACATATCCATAGAGACAACATAGCAAGGGAACATAATAAATGCCATCTGGATCAGAAAAGAAAGATCTTACATTGCCTATTAGACATGGAAAGATGGAAAGAGTATATTTTAGTGGGACTGATGAGGGCTTTGACTGTCACCTCAGTGTGTGCACAGGGATATGAACTATCAGGTTAGAAGTTAGTGGGTAGTTGAGTTTGGCAGGTATTTCGAGAAGCAGGTTGGAATTGGGCTGAATGGGAGTTAGTATTGTGACATTACAACAGCAGGAGTGTTTGCTCAATGTGTTATGAGTTGGTGTCAGGAAAGAACTGTTTTGAGTGTCTAGGAAGCCTAGTTACTAATGAGGGAGGAAGGGGGGGGTGGTTTTTAAATGCTCATAGAGAAGACCAAAGATGTCTGAGAACCCAAGGAGGTTGATTGTCTGTGAATCCCATGCTCACAGCCTGCCAGCCGTTAGTCACTTTCCAGTAGTTTCATCTGCCCACATGCAGCTTAGCTCTTTGATTAACCAAAAGGAATGTCTGAAACACCCACCCACTGATGTTGAAACTTAATGTAGTGGTGCTAAAGGAGTCTCTGGCCTTCCTTTTATTATTTTCCTTCAAAGCAGCCATTCAGTAGAAGAGGAGATAGGACTTATTTTTAAAATAAACAAAAATCTGGAGCCTCTAGCTGTTCAGAGCCTGTTTGTCTCTAACACCCCAGGGCTGTGCTGTACAATAACCTGGGGCTGTCATTAGGACACCTGGCTGCCTCTTGAGGGAGCAGCAGTGAAGCTGCACAAAGGTCACAGACTCTACAAGAAGGCAGTTTCAAGAAAGAGCCACTTTGTGACTCAATAGTTTAGAAGGTGGGATACAAATTGCATCAGACTGGGAAACTGTCTTTAGAGGAAAACAAACCAAAGTTTGTAAGCCTTAGAAAGCTGCCTATTGAGAAGTCACCCTTTTATCATGACATTGAATAGAGGATGATATGCTTCCTACCAGGTTACCTGTAGAGAGTCAAGGATGTGTTAGTTTACTAGGAAATGACCCTACCCTTGCCGTGTCACTAAGAAAGCCATTGCCTTTTGTCTACCTCTCAAGGGGGACCCTGAAGATGCGCAGGAGCTACCCATTCCAGAAGCTGCTCCAGGAAGTGTTTCTATTGGAAATCTGAGTGTGACTTCCCAAGATGAGGACAGGAGTGGTGAAAGCAACCTTCCATCATCTTCCTCCAGTGAATCTGGGCCAAACCGCCCCTGTTTTAAAGACGATGCAGGGGAAGACACAGCATTACTAGGTATGTGGCTAGAGTTGTAAAACCATGATGTTACCAGTGGTGAAGTGAAATAGAAAATAGAAAAATTAAAAAGCATAAATGAAAACTACAGTCTCACACTAAGAGATACATTTTAACCTTCTGATAAATACAGTCTCAGAACAGGGGAATACCATGTAAATGTTTGGTAACTATGAATGCTCTTAATGTATCATTGGTGGATCAATTTTTATGACCATTGTATTTCAGTTTTTAAATTTTCTTCTGAATTGCTCAGTTCATCTACATTTTTGTGTTTGGTTTTCTGTAGTCTCAATGTATTGTGCAGATAGTCTTCTTGCCTCTGCTTCTCAACTCAACTAATTTTTTCATACTGATTCTTAGTTCAGCCTCTGTCTTAGTTACTTTTCTAATGGCATGACAGAACATCATGAACAAGACAACTTAAAAGAAAACACTTATTGGGGCTCCCTCTTCCTCAAGAGTAGAATCCATGAGCATCATGGTGGGGAGCATGACAGCAGGCATGTGCTGGAGCAGTAACTGAGAGCTCAAATCTCTTCCACAAGTTCAAGACCGAGAGGGAAAAGAGAGTGAGTCTGGTGTGTGTCTTTGAGGTTGTACAACTGATGCCTCCTAGGCAATCAGCTCCACCAACTGAGGACCAGGTGTTCAAATTTATGAGCCTGTGCAGCATTCTCATTCAAACCACCACAGCCTCTTTAGAAAAGAAACTTTTTATATTGCAGTGGTGTCAATCAAATCTATGGCTTTTGGCCTGCCTGAAAAGGGCTACTGTGAGTTATGTCCTTAGCCCTTTCTTAGAATTTTGTAAAATTTATTATTGAAGGTACAAGATCTTAGTCATATGTTTTGTATCTTCTCCCTTGTTTTCTTTATTTCTTCTTTGTGTTAAGGATGGAACTCAGAGTTTTGGGAATATTAAGCATGAACTCTGGCACTAAGCCATCTTCCAGTGCCTAATTTCTGTATCCTTGGGTTTCTTTATAGTTTTTCTGTCTTCTAGTGTTTCCTTAGGCCTTTTATGGCATGCTAAATAGGAAAATCTTTTTCTTCTTGGGGTTAGTTATAGAATTATTGACCTGTATTTTACTAATTTGTGGCTTTTTTTTTCTTTTTTTTTTTTTTAATTCTTTTTTGAAACAGTGTCTTGTGTAGATCAGGCTAGCCTTAAACTCCCTAGGTAGCTGAGGATGATGACCTTGAACTTCTGATTATCTGACCACACCTCCCAAGTGCTAAGATTATAGGCATGCATTACCACCATTGTTTTATGAAATGCTTGGAATCAAACCCAGGATTGTGTGCATGCTTAGTAAGCACTCTGCTGACTGAGCTACAGCCTCATTTCTACCCCCTTTTAATTAATTTATTCATTTATTTATTGGGATACTCAGGCATGCAAGTATAGAAGTCAGAGGATAACTTTGAATAGTCACTTCTCTCCTTCTGCCGTGGGTCCCAGGGATCAAATTCAGATTGTCAGGCTTGGCAGCAAGTACCTTTGCCCTCTGAACTATTTTACTGGCCCCCTCTTCTGCATCCTCTAAAGATTAATTATGAAATTATTTTGAGCCTGGTATGATAGTGGTGTGATGTCTTTAATTCCAGCACTTGAGAGGCAGAGGCATGTGGATCTTCGTGAGTGTGAGGCCAGCCTAGTCTATATAGGGAGTTCCAGGCCAGCTAGTACTCCAATGAGACCCTATCTCCAAACAAAAGAGGGGGTGTAGAGATGACTCCATTGTTAAGAGCACTGGCTGCTCTTCCAGAGGACCTAAGATCCGTTACCAGCACTCACATGATGACTCACAGCCATCTGTAACTTCAGTTCCTAGAAATACCATACCCTCTTTGGCTTCTACAGGCACTAGACATGGATGTTGTATTTACATATATACACATAGGCAAAATACCCATACACATAAAATTTTGTCAGTTAAAAGAAATCCCACCAATATTTTAGTAGAATTGGTAAATTAATCTTTGGATTATTTTAATTGAAAATAATTGATGGTTCTAATTTTGAATTTGGCCATCTTAAAAGATTTTTAAAACAGTAAGATTCAAATTGAATCAGTGTGCCTTTAACATGTTCAAGAAAACTTATAGAAATATTAGAACTTCAATTTTTATTATGTATATGTGTGCATTGGGGTCATGGACTGTACATATATATGCAGGTGTTAAGTGCAGTATGCACAAGTGTGAAGGCCAGAGATCACCTTCAAGTACCATTTTTCAGGACATCATCTACCTTACTTTTTGAGACAAGGTCTCCCACTGGCTAGGGACTTGCCTAGTAAGCTAGGCTGACTGGCTGGGGAGCCTCAGGGATCCATTAACCCTCTTCACTTTTTCTAGCACAGGTATTATAAGTTCATACTACCACACCCAACTTTTTTATGAGTGTTCTGAGGATCAGACTGAGGTAGGAAGCACTTACGAGCTGAACTATCCTCTAAGCTCCTATAACTTACGTTTTAAACCAATGTTAGAGGACAAGTAGTACATTGGAGAGAGGGCGTACTAGGGAATGGTTATCACAGGATCATAAAGCTGGGGGACTTAACCTCATCAATTCTCTGACACTGAACTGACCACATTACAAAGCAGTATATTCAGCATAGTAAGGGATTTTGCTTTTAGGAATCCTGTTGAGACAAAGTTTGTACTACTGTGACTTGGGCCACTAACTTCAGAGTTCAGAAAGAAAATTAAATTTCTTTTCTAAGGGCATGGCTCCACTTGTGAAATGTGTAAACAGAGGTCCTTTAAAGGCAGTCATCATGTGAATGCTGGCTCAGGTCACACTAGAAAGCCTGTCTTTCACATTGAAGGGAAGGCTATTTCTGCTTCTCTTACTGGAATTCTTTGAAACGGGTTGTCATTTTCACATGTAAGTTTTATTTAAAGGTTTCTATAATTTGTTTCTTGAAGTATTATCTCCAGATGTGTAACTGAGGTTGGACAGACGTACTGACCTAGGGTGGCTTCTGATGTTTTTTTATAGGAGCCGGCAGGAATGACCCTCAGCATGGAGGATCCATCTGCTAGCACACCTCCTCATTGACAGCCTCACCGACAGAGCCTTGGCTTGAACTACAGGACATTTAATTTTTTACTCTAGGGCATAGTTTGTATACTTGAAAACAGTGGATATTATTTTACTTTACCTTTCAGATTCAGATTTGATATACAAAGGGCTGAGATATTTTATTCCTAAAAAGACTGAATTAGCCTTCATCTATTTATCTACTAAAGTATGGTGTGTATCATAAATTTTGTTGTGTCAGACTGTCACAGATGTCGGTGGTGGTGTTTCTGAGTACTAGACTAGCTTCTGTGGTACTGTAAACCAAGATTCTGTTTCTCAGGCTTTTAGACACAGCTCACTAAGTTATGTAGAATTGTGTAATATAATTCAGTAATTGATCAAATGGACTTTCCCTGAAGCAGAGACCTTAGAACTTGTAACATGAGAAATCTTGCCATAGGCAGTGGTGCACACCTGTAAACGCAGCACTCAGGAGGCTTCAGCAAGATTTTGAGTTCAAGCCAAAATGAAGGGACTGAGGGGAGAGAGAAATCAACTTTCTTGCACTATATCGTCCATAGAGACTTTAAAACCAAGTATACCTTCTTATTTTTTGGAATTGTGAAAAGAACACTAGTTGACTTTATGATTTGCATTTTTACCTTTATTGCCAATTTCTTTTGACACTTAGAAGGAAATTATCTGTGTTTTTCTATAAAAAATGACAAGAATGTCATATTGCACACTAAAGTATTAAAATATTGTTTCATAAGAAAATATAGTAGGCATCCTGTGTTTTTTAAGTGTTTAGTATATTTCAGTGGATCTAATCTTTGTTTAAATTAAAATTTCGATTTTTTGTTGTTAGACTAAAATAACATTTTCCTAATGAGATTTTAAGACAGTTCAATCCTGTGACCTTTTAACTGTCTTTCCTCTGATTGATATTCCCACAGGTAAAGCCTTTGAAGGTTGTTGTCTGAGTTCTATAGAGTGGTCAAATACACTTTTTAAGAGTGGGGAGTCCTTTGTTGATCCTAAACTTGTGTTGCAAGTGTACTTTGTAGACAAAAATAAATGCTTGTTGACAAAAAAAATGTAACAAACTTTATTTAGCAGTCAGTACCAACATTCAACACAAAAAGTTTAGAGAATGAAAAGTGAATAAAGGCCAGTCTTTACATAAAATATATTCCTGATTCAAAATATTTTACACTTCATGATAAAGAGTGCTTTTTTTTTTAAGTTTGTGTGTATGAGTATTTTCTCTGTATGTATGTCCATGTACCATCTGCATGACTAGGCCAAAGAGGCCAGAAGAGGGCCCTCAGATCTGATGGAACTGGAGTTACAGAAGATTCTGAGCCATCTTGTGGGTACTAGGTGTTGAATCTGGGTTCTCTATCCACAGAACCATCTCTCCAGCCCAAGGAAAGAATGCTTTAAGAAGTGTTTCTGGCTGACACCACAAGTCAGGTCACTGATCCACAATCATTGCTTTTTTGTTTTGTTTTGTATTAATGCCCTCAGCTGCAACTATTTACAGGACAGGAGACAAACATGAGTCAGAAACACATCCATGTCTATTACTCTCCACTTTGAGGCTTCCGCCAGGTAAAAAATAAGTGTCTCCATAGCATTTCCTTTGCATACAGATTAGGAATAACTTCATCAGTATCATTTTCAGATGTTTTACATTTTCTCCAGAGCAGAACTTATTCTTTAATCTTTATTCACAAGTTCTGTTTTGATCAACTACAGCTACTTCTTAATCTAAATGATGACCATTTTTTCTAGTTTCCAGTCATCTGTTGAGGTCTTTCTTTCTTTGTATCAAGGCACTGAGCCCTACCTAGGTGTGATCCGTTTCTTCCATCTGCCACCTTAAGTTTGGCACTGACTGCCGAAAGATGCTCCAATAATGTCATCTCTGACCATAGGAGCCTGGAAAGGGTACTGGGAACTTGTGGCAGGGTGTGGACCACCTGGTGGTTAAGAACAGCTAGGGTGGCTGCTGGGACTAGAGAGAGGTATCCAAATGGGTATAGAAATTCCAAATGGCACGCCTGGCATATAGGTCATTGATAGTCCTTTTTTCAGGTACAGTGGAAAGGATGTAGAAATGGTAGGACGGAAGATGCTGCAAAGGTCCTTCGCTAAACACTACAATCATGACCTGAGTGAGCTCCAAAATTCTGACTGTAGGTGTTTCAATTCATGGAGGTATGGAAGGTAGGTCTTCCCATTTTGAACCACATATATGTTTTCAGTTTTGGTAGTCACTGAACTAGTGGGCTTAACAAAATGGGATGGTGTATGTGTCCAGCAACCATAGGTATAGTGGAATATTATGTAAACATACTGTTTCCATAATGCATAGGAGTTGTTCCAGTAAGGTTCATTAGTTCCCTGGAACTGCCATCACTTAAAAAATGAGTCCAGTACAACTTTGAGATCTTTGTATAGAGTAATAACTGACAGCTTCACATACAAAAGTGTCTGTTTATATATGGACACCATCTCCTACAGCTGGCCCTGGGGCAGCACCATGGCACTGAACATCTCCATCTTCACAGGCAGAGCATCAGCATCAAGGGCTGCCCCAGGTCAGGGAATTGCAGAGGCTATCCTAAGCCAGCACCAAGAAAATAGTAAAATATGTGAATTTCACTGAAAGAAATGTACAACCAGATAAATCTGATGAGCTGTTGAAGTAGAAAATCTTACTAATCTCACTGAACCTCTGTGGTCAGTGCCAGTAGGAAAATATGAGTTCTTTATCAAGTAGGTTAGTGCTATCTTCTAAAAGACATCCCAGTGAAAATGCTGTCATCATTCTACAGCGAATGAAGCTGGCTTTTACAAAGGATAGTGATAGAACAAGCTAAATTGTTCTTAATCATTTAACCTTTAATGTAGAACTTTTTAGGGCAGGTCTCATTGTTTAATACAATCTTGAGTTTGAATTCATCATCCTTCTGCCTCAGCCTTCCCAGTGGTGAGATTTCAAGCATATGGACCACTTCTGACTCTGAATAATGTTTTGAAGATTGGAGGCAGTGGTTGAAAGAGGAAGTGTTCATTGACACAGAAGGTTGTTTGCTGTGTAATGCCTGCTCTCCTGACTTTTCACTCTTCAGTATTGGTGTTTTGGCGCTCTCTGCAGAAAACCAGAGTTGTGACCACATGGTCTCACTTAGCAGGTAATTGATTCTCACATGCTGAATTGATTGGGGTCTTGAACCTTTCTTCCCAGATGATTGCTTCCTATGGCTACTGAGGAATGATGACAATAAAAGGCCGAATTGCAGTGTCTCCATCAACAGTTTGCTCTCTATGTGGGCACACGATGACAAAACCTCCTGAAGCGAATCACTGTCTGACCTCAGTAATGCCAGGGTGGAAGCTTCCTGCCTATGGTCACATTCCCAAGTGGTGGGGGAGGGGGGTGCGGCGCTGCGCTAGTAAAAGTCTTCCCACGCTAAGAAAAATAATCACTGGCCGGGCAGTGGTGGCGCACGCCTTTAATCCCAGCACTCGGGAGGCAGAGGTAGGCGGATCTCTGTGAGTTCGAGGCCGGGCTGGTCCGACAGCCTCCAAAACAATACAGAAAAAACCCTGTCTCGTAAAACCAAAAAAAGAAAGAAAGAAAGAAAAATAATCACTGTCTTAAGACTACCCTGACCAAGCAGAATCAGTGTACCTTTACATACACTTATCAAATCAAGGACTACTAGAATTGTAAAAGTAATAGTAGCCTTTCCAGAATAAGATAGCTAAATTGGACTGCAATTTCCTTGGGGCAAGTTGATATTTGCTCAAGGAAGGATGAGGTTTAATCAGTGCATATCTATTATTAGCTGGAACTTAAGGACATTGTTTTAGACAAAAGCGGTTCTTCCAGGTCAGGAAGACATTGCTTTGCCATTTCCTAAACATTACGTGTTGGCCTGAAGCAGAGATAGCTTTATGGTATGATGTGATGTGCTGCTCTGATGAATAATCTTGCTTCTAAGGCATTAGAAACATCTGTCAGCATTTCATTCCCCAAAATACTAGTATTTGAATCCCTCATTATAGTGGTGTCTGCCATGCAACTACTTGCCTTAGCAGAGTCTAGAACAAAATAATGAGCTGAAGTATCTGTGCCCATTAATTGAAAATATGAGAAACAAAAGCCCATGTTTTTGACAAGTGGTAGGTTATATGTTGGGCTGATGAGAAGTCTGAGAAGAGCAATATATTCTGTGTAGTTACTAAATCTCAAGCTTGCGCCAGTACCTTCTGTAGTTACAGAAAAAACAGGATGAAATTAAGTCAGCAGTCTTATCTTAGTAAGCAGTTGCTAAGATTTGATGAATGCATAACAGCTTTTTCCTAATTACTAATTTCTCAAAGAAATACCCTTGTTTACCAAGAGCTTCTCAGAATATTGTATACTGTCATATGGGTCATAGATCCACAATTACTATAGAAATGTTACCTGCAATAGATGCAATGTGTGTAAATGAGAATGTGCCCTGTAAACTTAGTGATCTCATTTATGAAGTTGATTAAATCAACAATAAATGCTGTTGAGAATTATTTAAGTGGTTATATTTTGCAATTCCAAAATGTGTTTTTACTTCTACTATTCTTAAAATGTTACTGATTAGTGTTCTTTTTTTTTAAACAGGTGACTTGAAGATTTAAGTTGAACTTAAAAATATCATGAAGTTAAACCTACATTAAATTAAACTCATTTAATTACACTTAAAACTAAGTTGTGATTATTCAGTCTCACTCAGAATTATAGTTCTACTTACTTTTTTGGAGATGGTAACTTGTTGCCCAGGCTGGCCGTAACCTGGGTTTAATCCTGCTTCAGTAGACCCAATAGCTGGAACTATAGGGCTAAACCAGGGTGTGCATCAAGTGTAAACATGCTAAACCTAGAGAACCTAGTGCTACAAACTTTGATTATGTACATCTGATGTTCACCAAGCATAGCTACTCTTTTTAAGCAGTCTGTTTTCCTAGTGAACACCAAGATTGTAATCTTGACCCCCCCCCCATTGTAGGGCCTGTATTTGAGAATTTTATTTGAGATACCAAAATCAACATGGACACTTTATTTTTCCTGTGTGCCTCACATGTTTTCTGATGTACAGAAATTTTTGACTTGCTTATTATGCCTTTGCTACAACTCTCACTGCAAGGGCCCCTTCCAAGCTTGTACCTTGGGGAGGGGGGACGGGGGCTGTGGAGAGCACTGTGTCTGTTTTGGCAGTTAAAAAGAACACAGTGAATTACCATCTCCTAGTATCAGCTTAACAAGGCTGTGACAGGCTTTACATGTTAAATAAGTTTTGGGTGTGTTGTTCATAGGTCCCAGTTCTGTCTTTGTTGGCTGTAGGTTAAATGTATTTTACTAAGCTCATGCAACCATCCTTTTGACATCTTGACAACATTTGTCATCTACAAAGTTCACATTCATGAACCACCAATCAAGTTTTAAAAATAAGTGCAGACATACACCTTCTGTGAAATAAAGGTTTTCAATTTTGTGTTGGGCTACAGGTTAAACAGGCCTATCACTGTAGATCCATTTCCCACAGTGAGTCTTTAGAACTTGTCATTCTCAAACACTGTTTTGTGCTGTTCTTTGCCCAGTGCCATCTGGAAAATGGTGGTGGCCACTTTGGAGCATTGAGAGAAGTCAGCTGTTTACCACAGGGGCTCAAGGCTCATTCCTCCTAATCATAAGGTTAAGGAGAATGTCACATATCTGGAGTTCTGAAGCTTGGCTTCTTTAACTCTTGCCAAATATTGGAGAACAGATTGTATCCCTGTAGGTCTGTTTTAGAAATACCTCCGTAAGAAGATTTTTTTTCTTAATTTCTTTAAATGAAAAGGTATGTCAGACATTTTAAATGCTGGATGTGGTGGCATATACCTTTAAATCACAGGATACAGAGGCAAAGGCAGGAGGATCTCTAAGTTTGAGGCCATCTTGGTCTATATACTGAGCTCCAGGACAGCCAGGGCTACATAAACAGGCCCTGACTAAAAAACACTCCCCCCAAAAATGAGGCACCATTGTACCAAGCACTGACCTCCCCACCAAACAGGGATCTAGGGTACACCCTTCTAGTTTGTCAGTTTGTATCTGTCTATAAAACAACAAAAACCATGCCCATCTTAGACTACCATAATGAGAATAAAGTCCGAGCTATTAAAGTCTAGCAAAAGGTTCCTGCCTGAGA